ATGGTCGTCCTCTCCTTCTAGTATATTTTGTAATACACATTTTGTTTTAAATATATTTATTGCATGTAATTCTTGACAAATTGGTAATACATAAAATAGATTTTAGAGATTTAGGAGAACAAAGATATTTTAAAATGCTCTAATGGACAAAAGAACTATACACATGCACATGTGCAAATTTCTACTTATTTTAATGAGTGAACTTCTATAAGGGGTAAATTTTCACAAGCACCTCTCATGCCCAGCTATTTGTTTACAGAAAGGAGATCAATAATCTCTTAAGGAACTGAAGGTGGTTCGAGGCTTTAATCAAGGAGGAAGAAAGGGCAAGAGGTAGATGAATTCATATCAAATTGTAAAGAGATACGGAAAATATGCAAAACATAACATTTTGAATAATGTTAAGCTCATAAAATCAGTGCTCATCTAAAACCCCACCTCCAAGCGTGTGTCTCCACATCTCCCTTCTTTACCCTACAATCAAGATGGACCAAAATGACTATCACTGGCCCAATGGACTAAAAGTAGCCATGACAAGTTATTTATTGTAAATAACCCTGACATAATTCATGCTCTTTAGCACACGTATGTGCCTGTGTACACACACACACTCACACACCAGTGTACACCACCTATAAACAGTAGACACCTCAAGATAATGCAGTCATCTGTTGGATACGTAAATGAATACACACACACACACAATCGCTTTATCCTGGAACACTTCTTTGGCACGTACCACATACCAATACCAATCTCTCAGAAAAAGATCGTGCTCTGCCTGGGCGTAATGTGTCTGTGAATATTCACATTGATGCATTTGAATGGAATTCCTTGATAACAATGTGAAGCCTGAGTTTAGAATTAGTCTAATTATAACATCCTGGAATTCGTACAATGACGTTGATGATGATTGTGATGAGGAGGAGGCGGCGGAGGAGATGACCCCATCATGCTGCATTCATTTTTGATAAATTTATAACGTCAACAAGCAAAGTATTAGGTCTGTAATGCTCTCAGTGACGGAGTTCTTAGTTTGGATGCACAGCAAGAACAGATTGGATATTTTGTAATATATATCTTGCTTCCTAAATTTACCCAATCAGAGGCCAGAAAAGAATAGATTATCAAAGCAAAAAGATAAACAGTGTTGACCAATACCCTTGCTTTTTGTTTATTTTTATTAGTGATTTTAGGTGCCCTTTTCTTAAAAGGAAAAAGAATAACTGATCCCAAGGGCACCTTGTGAATTCTAATACCAATCATGCTACAGATAAATGAGTAAGAAAAATGGACAATATAAAGTGTGCTAAAGGAAAACAATATATTCATAAAACTGATAGATTAGCACAAAAATCTACTACAGAATTTTAAAAAAGACTGTAAGTCAAGTCATTATACTTTTTACAACTTAATAGCTATAAAAATCGAATGATTTAATAAACATTTTCAAAAGCACTAGTAAAATTCAGAAAAATGGTTATATTTATTCCTGAAAATTATTTTCCTAAATGGAAGGAAAAGATGATTAATGAGTCCAGACAAATTTTAATGCTGCCGCTCCCTATTTCTTTAACACAGCCAGGTGTGGTGGCTCCTCCTTGTAATCTTAGCACTTTGGGAGGCTTAGGCTGGTAGATTGCTTGAGCTCAGGAGTTGAAGACCAGCTTGAGCAAGAGTAAGACCTTGTGTCTACTAAGAACAGAAAAACCAGCCAGGCCTTGTGACAGGCACCTGTAGTCCCAGCAACTGAGGCAAGAGGATCACTGGAGCTCAACAATTTGAGATTGTTGTGAGTTATGATGCCATGACACTCTACCCTGAGAGACTCTGTCTCAAAAAAAAAAATAATAATAATCTTTAACATTTACTGCTGTGCTCAAATTGTGGGCTAAGGGACCGTATGCAACAGGTTGTCCAGATTCTCTGAGACACAGGACGAGAGACCTTTCCACACCTGTGCACAGGTTCTCCAACTGCTAGAGGGCAAGCCCTGCCTTACTGCCATTCTTCGGAGTTACACTAAACCTTGGTTAATGTGTGAGCAATAAGGGCACACAGCAACATGCCCTCCTAAGCCATGTTTCAGATCACAGTTAGCTCTGATGCAATTGGTCTCATACCCCAGGCTGTTTTCCTCTGGACTATTACATAACTTGTGCTTTAAAAGCATAATTTCTATCCATAACAAATAAAATATCTACACATATTGAATAAAAATCATTTATATTTTGAAATTTAGTTTTGGACATAAATCATACAAGAATCCTCATGAGTTCATAGAGTTTAAAATAATATATTTAATATTTGGAAAAGTGCATAGTTTTAAGTCCCCAAATTTAGGAATATGTATTATTAACTATGCAAAGGAAATATTAACATTTAGATAATTTCCACTTATACCATTTGGAGTATGACTTTTTAAGGCACGCAATAGTTGCCCAGTATTACTATGTTACAGGACTTACTTAACTTACTAAGCTTTACAGAACCAGCTGCATGAAGTTTTGTCCTTTAAATTCACTCTTCAGAATATTAGAATATTCTCAATATAAAAGTGTCAAAGTGTCTGACTTTTTAAAAATAATGGTGTCTTCCATGATAGTCCAGATGAATTTAATTTTGACTTAATATTAAGACAAAAATGTTTCAACATCAACTTGGAAGTTGTCATTTCTCAGGTAGAAGTGAAAAACAAAAGTAACTCATTTGTATAAGAACACACTTTTATTGTTTTCTATGAAGGCTGCACTTTATTAAGGCAAAGGTCTAAACAGTGAGTACAGACAAAGAAGCTTTGGAAGTATAAACAAACACCAGCACCCATCATTAGGCTGAAATGGGGTTCTAAAAGGACATTGCGAAGCCTGCTGATGGCCCAGTTACCCGAGAAGCATTCGATGAACTTTCCTTGGAATCTGTCTTATAACTGGGCTACATATTCGGTTTTTATTGTGTGAAATCCTAGAAAGCTTGGATCGGGAAGGAATCCCATAGATTCCAGGGCCCAGTGCACGAGCAAGAAGGGGATTCTCAGGGCTGGACTTGTCAGTCTCATTTTCATGCGCACGGTGACTGTGAAAGCAGACGCGCATCTCACCTTGGGACTTAATCCATCCACTAATTTATACAGTCTGAGGTGTCAGACACAATCGCCATGGCGCTCAAAAAACAGAAGGGGGAGAAGGACGAGCAAACACCTGGTGGGAGAGCAAAGGGCTTCAGAGGTCAAGTTAGGAAGATGACTCCCCCCCAGCTCTAGCTTCCCACCCCCTTCTTGGCTGACAGCTGTGCAGGTGACAGATTTGGGCACTGCGTCCTGGCTGCTGAAAACCACCAGCCTTCCTCCCGGACAGCCGCAGCTTTTCCCGTGGCTACGTCCTGATCTCCCCGGAAAAGAACGAGGCACTTTCTTCTCCCCACGAAAAGCCCTTGAAACTTGGCTGAGGGTCTGAACCCAGCCAGCGTTGGCTCTCTAGTCTGGCCCTGGCGGGGCACATGGCAAAGGCTGCCGGAGGAGGCGTCGTCGCCACCCGGCTCTTTAAGTTCCCTCCCAGCCTACGCAGATCTGCGGAAGTTTGGGAAGGGGCCCTGGTGTCCTCGGGATCCTGCCTGCACCTGTAATGTGAAGAGCCGCAGAAGGAGCGCGGAGGGGCACGTCTGCCTCTGCCCTTACGCCCAGTCCCAACGCCTTCCTGGCTAATTACCTTCCTGGCCTCCTGGCGCCGGTGACCTTCCCTCTATTCTGTACCCTACTGTACCTTTGTTCAATGGTCTAAGGCAACATTCCGTTATTCCGTTTGGTTTCTTTCTTTCTTTCTTTCTTTCTTTCTTTTTAACGTGAAAATTAGCGAAGGTCTCCCCGCTTCTCCCCTTGTTCAAGTCAGAGTATTCATCCCTTCAGCAGAGCACACGAGGGAATGTTCTAGCTCAAGGCCGCTTTGCCCCAGGACTCCAGATTCCAGAGCTTGGGAGAACTGGAACTTTGAGGACAGTGAGGTAGCGAGACAACCAGAGAATCCGGAGAACTGGCTCTCTCTCTCTCTCCCTCTCTCTCTGTCTCTCTCTCTTCTTTCCCTTCCCTTTTCTGCACTGGTGGGTCTCTGTGGTCACCTCACATCGCGCTTTCCTCGGGGACCTCCTGCCCAGAGTCCCGTCCGCCCCCTCGCGTCCTGAGCCGGAGCAGCTCTGCGCCCAGGCGCGGGTCGGTCCTCTCCCGCCCCCTCCCGTCCACACCCACGTCCCCCACTCAGCGCAACCCTCTTTCCACTTCATCTATTCACTAGCGAAGTTTTGCATCCCCGGGGTCTTCACCGTTTCCTTCCCAAGTCAGGCAGCATCTCTCTAAAGAAAGTAGGAAAAGGTCTCCATCAACTTCGCCATCGCGGGCGACTGTGGGAGCACACACCTGCCTCCTGCACAGGTACACACGGCCTCAGGGTGCGTTAAGCTCGCTTGCTACAGCCGACAGGGACGCGCGGCGCGGGCAGAGCGGAAAAAGAATTTCAAAATAAGCCTGGGAAGCAGGGACCAGAAAACAGGGATTCAGCGCGCACACACACACACACACACACGCGCACACACACACCCGCCCCTGCTCACAGACCAGGTCCACCCGAAAGGCGCACACTTCTGAGGACAAACCACTGTGGATTGTACTGTACGTAAATCTTCACCGAGGCACAATTTTCTTGGGAACCAACAATCCCTTTCGTCCACCGGACTTCTCAGTACGATCGAAACCAGCCCAGTGCACTTGAGGATGGGGACCGTGGCGCTGCCGGAGCCTTCAGCCCCCAGCTCTGTCTGCAGAGACCCTCAGTCAGGTGCGGCCCCCAGGCCAGCAGAGCAACAAGCGGGCTGTCGGCAGGAGGGCCGGGTCCTCTCTGCCCTGTCCCTGCGCGGGTCACCTCTCCCTGGTGTCTCCCCCACCCCCCAACCCAGCCGCCAGCCCCGCCAAACGAGCGCAGGGGAAGGGGAAAGCCGAAGGAGCGACTCACCCCCAGCTTCCTGCTGCGGATTTTCACGTAGCCCTGCTTGACTATGTCGTTAAAGTTGGAGGCCATGGCCAGCGCGTCCGGGCTCGTCCGCTCCGCGATCCGCTTTCCGGAGTCGAGAGCCGCCGTCCGCCGCTAGGTCCGCTCGGGTCTCGCATCCAGCCAGCCGCCGCCAGCAGCAGCGCCGCCGCCGGGTCCTCCCCGAGCTCCTGCCGGCGGGGACGCGGGGACCGTGGCAGGGCCGCCGCGGACGGGGAACGGGGCCCGGCGCGGGGAGCGGCGCCGGCCCTCGGCGATCCGGTCCTCACCTTCGCCCCCCGCCGCCAGCCGAGCGCCGCGGCCCGCGCCGCCGCCAGCTGTGGGCGCCCCCTCCGCGCCGCCGCCCCCGGCAGCACCCACGGGCTGGCGCCTCGCTCGGCGGCGCACAGCTGGCCGGAGCGCACCCTCGCGGCTCCCCGGCGCGGGGGAGGGGCGGGGACGAGGGGCGGGCTGATTCGCCGGCCCCGCTCCCTCCCTCGGCCCGCGGGGCGGCGGGGCTCCAAGATGCTCGCAAGACGCGCTCCTTCCCTGGCGACGCGGGGTACCGCGCCCCACCCGGCCCCTGCGCCCGCCGCGCTCCCCGGGTGCGGAATTCCTAAGGACACGGTCCTCGTTCCGGGGCTCTAAATCTCCAAACTGGACACGGGGGAAGGGGCGGTGGGGAGACTTCCAACGCTGAAGGCGAACAGGAACGACACAATTGTTTATTTCAGTGTTAATGTGCATTTTTATCCCTGAGCACACTCGGCCCTTCCAGGTCTTTGCCCGGCTAGATCTGAAAATCGACGCCAGCCCCTTCCCGGTGTACACAAAGAGACCGATGGTGCGCATGTGTCTGATCCGCCCGCTGCTGGAGACACTGGCAGTCGCGGGAGCAGCCGGGCGCCGGCGTCCTGCACTGAGGAAGCCCAGGAGACGGACCCGAGCGGCTGCCTCACGCGTGGCTTTTGGTTAAGGATGATGGAAGTGGCTCCTGGCCCTTCTCGGGGGAGATGGAAACCATGGCTGTTATCAGTGGACGCGAATGATTTATGGATGCCTTCAACTTGTAAAAACAAAAGAATGAAGAACTTTCTCCCCTTAATGTGGGAACACATGGTTTTTAAAAAGGTTCTTCCCCATTGCAAAGGCAATTTAATTTAAAATAGACATTATTTTATAAGCTTCAAGGAGAAAAGAGGGAGTAATGAATTTTGGCTGGAGGCAATATATGGATTTTTACCATAGGCTAGACCATTGAGTACTTAGTGGCTAAGGATGTTTCTAACTGAGAAAAATGCATAAGGACTGAACATTTGTTATGGTGACTCAGTTTATAAAGTTTATATTTAATAAAAGTTCAAAAATGCTGCTTATTTTCGTTCATTATGGCAAACAAATAGTTTTCCAGGTTCTCATTTAAAATGTGGTAGCAATATTTGAAACGTTAAGATTGAGTACGTAAGATTGGGAAACTGAACTTGATGGGGGGGGGATGTGTAAAAGCTTGAATAGCTGGATAACATGCCCTTGAGTCCAGTCAAATGACCATCATTCCAAGGGGAGATTTTTGCCTCACTCTTAGCAAGAATCTCCACCTAGGGTCCATGTAACCCAAAGGGAATTCTAACTTGTCTTAATAGCACATTATTCTTATCATTTCCTTCCTTCCTTCCTTCCTTCCTTCCTTCCTTCCTTCCTTCCTTCCTTCTCTCACCTCATGCAAAGTACCAGATGCTGATGCAAATAATTACAGTAACAGAGCAAGGTCCCTTACGCTCTCATTCTGGAATGGGCTCAAGCTCTTACCTTCTTGGCAAATTTACATTCACTCGCTATTAACTCCATGTAATTCCTTCCTCTAAATGCTTGACACTTGTTCTTTGTTACATTGTTTCATTACTCTTGCATGACATTTTTTTTTAAATATGGAGACTTTATGTTTGCAAATGATTGAAATACATTATCTTATTCAGTCCTCTTTGCAACTACCTATGTTAGATAAAGGATATTGTCATTTACTAGATAAGGAAACTCAGAGCTGTAAGTTCAAGGTTGGCTTGGGGTCCACCATACATACCCTGACCACTGATCTCCTCCTTCACCATTTATATCAGCTGTTTTCATGAGTTAATTGTAAGATCTTTGAAGTCAAGAATTACATTTGTCTCGGCAACATTTTTAATGCTTACACCAGGGTCAGGTATGGTAAATGTGGCTTTTAATGAGTGTATAATAATTGTGCCTACTCACTAATGCTTAGTAAGGATTTTATAATACCCTAACATTATTTAAACATTCTTCCTTATTTCCTTCTTATTTTTAATTTTTGATTATAACAATGAGTGTGCATACATATTCCTCTTTTCATGTTTGTTTACTTACCTCTTGAAAACACTATGTTATTTTTCATGAAGGTTTTTCCAGTTCTGGATTTGGTAGATTGTATTCTCATGGCATCATTTAAATGTATTTACTGAAATCCCACCTGTCCTGTTAGCTGTTAATGAGATTTTTACGAATTAGACTACATTCTTCTTTTTGTTTTTTGCAAGAACAATTCTTAAGTGATGTGCCTAGTCTACTGAATCCCATCAAAAGGCACAAAATGTCTGGATGTCTGATTGATGAGGGGACTAAAGTGCTGTCAGCCTGACTCATACATTATAAAATTATAAAACATTTGCAGAAATATAAATTATATAAAATCCTTAAAGAATATAGAATCATAGTATTTTTCATCCACATTCCACCTTATAATTTCTCCGGCTACTGGTGAACATTGCTTAGAGGTATTAGTTCCTTAAGAATTGCAAAGTTGTGATTTTCTAATTTGATCTTGTTCTTGAATTTCTGAACTGTTATTCTCTTTCTATAAAGCAAAGGAGGAAACAAATAAAACTTCCCATTGCAAACTATATGCTTGATTCTTTATCAACCATTTTTCGGAAGTATCAAATGGGCACTAGTCAACTCAGAATGAATGCTGACTCCATTTGGAATATCATCTTTAGAGCTGTGATTTTGTATATATGTTGTATTTGTGTTTCACAGTCATTCTTCTTTTTATTGTATGAATAATCCAATCTGGAGTAGAAGAAGCTGCTTCAGTTGGCATTTTTGTGTTTCCAAGGAGCTGATTCAGTTGACATTTTTGTATTTCCAATAGGTCCTCATGGACTTTGCCAGCCTTGTGATCAATCAGAAGGTATCCCACGCTCATCTCGTATTATACATTTTCATCTCCAGGCCTGGAAATCATTATTTCTCTTGAAACCTTTGTTTATTTTAAGGGAAAATGAAATTCAGCTCCCACAATCTGGTTGCTAGGGTGTTCTAAGATTTTCAGTTACAAAGCAAGGGAATATTTTTATTTTAGAAATATATTTTAAAAGAAAAAAATCTCAGTTTTAAAGGATATTTCCAATTCAAATGAATGTTAACACATTTCATATTTAAGGATTGCTTCTTTTCCTTTGAGGTTTTCATCATATGAAATGTTTACAAGTTTCCAAAGTCAAACCTATCAACAAGGCACGTGGAGTGACACAGCTCCAGCTTCTGTGTCTTCCTCTGTGTTTTCTGCCTTTCTTTGTTATTTCAATCTCACTATTAAATTTCTCCCATAGGATTCTGAATGCCTTCTGCATTGTTTTGATGTTCACTGAGATTCTTGAGGACAGCTATTTTGAACTCTCTGTCTGAAAGGTCACATATTTCCATCACTCTGGGGTTGATCACTGGTGCCTTAATTTGTTTGATGAGTGTTTTTGATGCTTGTGGATGTTTGCCAATGTCTGGACAGTAAAGAGTTGGGCATTTATTCTAATATTTGCCCTCTATGCTTGTTTGTACCCATCCCTCTTGAGAAGGCTTTCTAGGTATTCAAAGGGAATTGAGCATTGTGATCTAAATCTTTTGTTACTGCAAGGATGTTAGCATTGGAGATGCCCCAAGACCAGTAATGCTGTGACCCTTGTAAATGGTGATACTGGCGTGGTGGGTCTGGGTAAAATCTGAGAGAACTCCCTGAATTACCACACAAAGGCTCTCTCTTCCCCAACTTTCCCACAAACAGGGAAAGGAGTCCCATTCTCTGTGCTTGGAAGCTTGGAGTTGTGAGAGGTGTGGGCACCCCTTGTGGTGGCCACCACAGCTGGAAGTGTGCCAGTTCACAGTCTCCCCCCAGGTTCCTGGGGAGTACGCTCTGGCTACTGCTGAAGTCTATTCAAGGCCTAAGGACTTTTTATTCAGCAGGTGGCAAATTTTGCCAGGGCTCCCTACTCCCCTTCAGGGTAGTGAGTTCCTGTGTGCCCCAGGGTAGGTCTAGAAATGCCCCTAGGAGCTAAGCCCTGAAATCAGGGGCTTAGGAATCTGCTTGGTACTTTATTTTACTGTGGCTGAGCTGGTATCCCAGTTTCAAGACTAAGTCTTCTGTACTCTTTCCTTTCCTTTCCCCAAGAAGAAGGAGGCTCTCCCAAGCTCTACTGCCTAGATTTGGGAGGGGTGAACAGGCATTCCCTTGGCCCCCCACAGCTGCCATCTCATTGGGTCACATGCACGCCAAGACTACTGGTGAGGAGTCCAGCAAAAAACAAGGACTAACCCAAGGACTGCAGTCTTTGTGGCCTGAATGCCTTTCACATTTCTTCCAGGCCCAAGGCCAGTTTCATTAGCCAGTGGTGGAACCAGAACTCAAGTTCCTGCAGCTGGGGAGGGAAGGACCCCTCTGTCCAGGCTGGCCTAAATTGGTTTGTTCCCTCCATGGGGTTCAGCAGAATATCTCTCTGTTCTGTGCTCTCCTGTGACAGAGTGTCCCTGAGTTCCAATACTAAACCCCAAAGTCCCATGATTGCATCATTCTCCCTCCCCCAAAATATAGATCCTCTCTCCACGGAGCACTGACAGGTGCCGGGAGGAGCAAGGGGGTGTGGGCAACCCAGGGCTGTACTTCCCACCCTCTTCAGTGCCTCTTTCCTAGATAGAGTGTACGGGCCAGGTACTGAGATGGCTCACCTGATTTTTTGCTCTTCCTAAGGTGCTTTCTGGCATAGGGAACTGTTCAAAATTTGGTGTTCTTGTGGGCGATAATCGCAGGAAGGTTCTCTTCAGTCATCGTGTTCTGCTCCCTACCCCAATCTAATTCTCTTTGTAGGAAACCATTTTTCTTAGTTTTGGTTTATCTTCCATTGTTCCTTCTTGACGATATAAAGACAAATATGTGCTCCTATCTATGTCGTTCTTACCA